TTAAAATTTCCCTTTTCAACATAAAATTTCCCTTTCTCATTTGGGGCTATCTTACAACGTTTACATCTTTAATAATGGTGATGACCGCATATTTTAATTATTCATAGTATCTTTGCAGCTATAAAACTACCTAATTAACAGCATACCAAAGCAGAGAGAACAAGAGAAATTAAAACTTTCAACTAACATATGGTATTCGTGCATTGGAACTTCTGTTTAGTACATTTCTTCTGCCATGCTTCTAAAGTGGCATAGAAGAATCATGAAATTATAGCATGTAGCAGTATCAAATGTTGCCTTCGCATGGAGCAGACCTTTTAGGCTTGTTTCGTTTTTGCTAGTGGGGCAAGCTCATTAGTTTCAGTTTAAAGACCCCCCCCTTTTTTTTTTTCTTTTTTTTTTTTTTTTTTTTTTTTTGTCCAGCTGCCAATGACATTCAGTACTCTCACTCTCTACTTCAGACACTCACTAACACTTTTTCCTCCCTCCTCTCTCTCTCTCTCTCTCTCTCTGGCCACTCTTCATTGTTTTTTTTAACAGAATTTACTATTGCAGTATCACCTCTTATAAGAATATAATTTTTTCTCTAACTTTCGCACTTTATCAGTTTTCCCCTAAATTTTGGTCAATTTTGACATTTCTCCTTTTCCTTCCATGGGTCTATTTCCCGTCAAAAAGGAAATTTCCTTAAACCTGGCATCTTTGTCAGGACTGTCTTTAAACTGTCCTCATTAGGTGTCCACAACAGTAATGCGATTTTACAGTTATTTGCATTTGTACCATTTGTATCTCTTTGTAATGCAAATGGTGCCACACACCATTTCAGCTGGTGCCACATAACTTATAAAATATATTATATATCTAATATTAAATAACCTTATGTACTAGAGATTCACAGCTATATTAATTTCAGTCAGTTATTACATTGGATCTTCGTTATAGGGTCTTTTCAAATGTAAATAGTCTTTTTACGTATGGCATCATGGCGTCTTAGACGAAATCACAGGACAATTTCTAGTCAGAACAAATTCTTCTATCTGTTTGAAGAACAAATTTTAATTTTGGAAATTTTGAGTTTTACATCCTCTTCACTGCCCTTATTATTAGTTTGGAAATGGTTTAGAAGAAAAGTTTTCAGAATGGAATGTTCTGTCGAAAGGCAAGGTTAGAAAGGGTATTCACGAAAGCTCATGAACTAAAATTTGTCTGTGACAGAAAAGAAGTCTTTGACTCTGAGATTTGGCTATGACTCCACGCAAAACTGCCTTTGACACTTTCAGTTAGGTCTGAAAGTGACCTCCACTTGTATGGGCTCTCTAAATTGTCCTTATGAGACGCCGACAACAGTAACTCGATTTTAGTTCTGGCGATAACTGCATTAGTAATGTTATGGAAATATTCGTGTCGCTTTACTTATTGTCAATCATTAATTTAGCCGTTTCCTACGCTCTTTGTAAACTAACACAGTCATAACAAATGTAAAAGATGTCATGTAAACATATAATATATATTATATATATAATATAGCTATTATATATATAGGATCTTTTAAAAAGTAAATATTATTTTTAGCTGTATGTTACATTCAAAATGTGGCTTAAAGCGAGTCGGAGAGGAAAACACAAAGGACAATCTATAGACTAAGTTATAGACAAATTAAGTAAATGTTGTGAGTTAATGAGTTAATATCCAGTTCGTCAAAGAAAATTCTATGACATTTCGTGAATAGCTTCCCAGGCTTCTATAAAACAAGGATGCCTATCCCTGAGCCAAGTAATAACGAGTGGCAGTATTCACGAAAGGTCATAGACTAAAATTTGTCTTTGACTGAAAATGTCTTTGACTCCGAGATTTTGTCTATGTAATAACTATATGTGTATTGATGGATGTTTGTAATTATTACGGTATTCAACGTTTAATTTTTTAACAAAATTTTACGTAACCCAACCTCATTAGTACTGTTTCACTAGATCTTATTGTTTAATATATCCGTTTTTCGTATTCAGCCACATTTTGTAGTTTGTTGCAAACAGCTACCACTTTTCCGTCTACTGTGACGAAAAGAGGTTGCTTTATGGTATCTTTATTACAATTTAAAGGGCGATTACTGTAGTGTAAGGCGTAAAGTTCGAAAACAGTTATATAAATAATCTGTGCTACGTTTCCAATGATTCATGCACATTTACTAGGAAACTACAAAGTTTATGTACTACTTATATAAACAACTGGCACTATCTAACTCATGCACAACTGTACTTTACCTACAGAATAAGAGATAGAACATTTTAATAACGGCAGGATATCTTTTACATCTCAAATACATGGTGTCACTTCACACAATAAGAGGAATTAGTAGCAGATTCAGCATAACCTATTATCGTGTACCAAGATCAATCATAGATCTTGATACTTTTGATATTTTTTTATCATGAGTGATAAATGGATATATGATCATCGCTGCACGTGCTTGTAACTAGTTGGTACAGAAGATAGTTCCCTAAAACTCAAACAATATACTTTAATCAAAAGTTTGGTATGGAAACAGAGTTTGAAACTGAGTCTGAGCTCATTACACAGCTTCCCTTTGGTTCTCTGACAGAGGCAGAGCTGCAGGATCCCGAGTAGCGATGCCGTCTTTCTCGGTCTCATGAATTTCCTACAAAATTAACATAAGGAGTCAGTTACACAGCAGTATAGAGAATAATTCGGTATACACAGAAGATATTTCTAAGAAAAGAACTGATCAAGTGTACTTTCGGAATTGGAATTTTAAGTTGCATATTTGCATTGAAAGTATGCTTTATATATGAAAGACTGGGTATTGAAATACCCTGTAATTACTGTTTATCATTCACAAAAACATGTTTAGTATCTCTGATTCCTTCGTGAAATCTAACATGAACAAATTACCATTTCCTATTTTGAACAAGTAATCTACTTATTCACAATAAACAGAATGAAAATACAGTTAAACTTCAAGACGCACCTGTTTGCTGAGGAGGAGATCTCGTTCCGGGAAGCTTGGCTCGTACACGCGCCTGCTGTCCATGCCTCCCGCCCCAGCCATGGCCAAGAACAGCAGGGAACTTATGCAGAACGGGAAGGTGAACACTGGCAGCTGGTTCTAATGTAAAAGAATCGTAAGATTAGTTAAAACATGATTAAATATGAACTGAATAAATAATAATAATGATGATAATAATAATAATAATAATAATGACACAAGTGAAGCAGGACCGCAAACTCTATATTGACATTACGAACCAAAGGATAAGTTTACTGGAAACTGGACTAACCAGCGCGAAAGAGGGAACGAGCGCTGCATGGAGGAATGTAGTAAAGATGGAGTTGACGATGGCAAGGAGGAAGACTCTCGGCGAGGGAACCATGAAGATGGCGAGGCTTCCACCTGACAGGAACCCGTTGTAGCCCCAGCCACCAGCGTACACAGCAGCGTAAGGAGCCGATGACACCGCAAGAGCTGAAGTGGAACGAGTTAGCCTTGAACAAGATTCCCATCATTCATCTATTGGTCTAAAAGCCATTGAGCTAAACCGTTAAGAACAAAATCTTACAGAGACAATGAAGTAGAAATGCCGCTTTCCACTTTCCATATAAAACACAAAACTGTTTTCCTTGCTTATTAAAGCGAAAATACAGCTCTACAGCTAAAAGTTTCGGCAAAGTGAGTGTTTGCGTTCAGTGTTAATGTGTGATATAAAAGACATTAAAATGGGATAAGAGACAGAGGGGATGAAGACAGAAACAGAGAGACCTAGATATTCTAGGAGAGGTTAACAGATAATGCATAGCTATAAATTTTTAAAGTTCGTTTTCTGATTGTTATATTATTATAAGTTAACCGTAACTTTCCCATCAGAGAAAAGGCTTTTTTAATAAATGTTATTACAGGCATCTTTCTTGTATATAGTTAGAGACAGAAACACTTATTCTCACCTGTAAAGGAGGACGTGAGAGCGCCGAAGAAGGCGAAGACGGTAAGGATTGGCGAATACAAGAAGAGACCAATGAGCGTGAGCGAGGAGCACGCGATGCTCTCCACTGCGTAGGCTTGTCCAGCGGAGAGGAATGACCCAAGGAAGACCTGTCAAATCCCCGACAAATTAACTTGAGAAAATGTTCGATTCGTTACGACAGAAGTGGTTCCTCTAATCAAACGGCGATACCGATTATTTAAAAAGAGAAATAATAAATAAATAAATAAAATGAAACGATATATATATATATATATATATATTTTTTTTTTTTTTTTTTTTTTTAGATCAACACCTTAATCCTACATCAGGCACTCATTCTGACACTCACTTGCCCCCATTGGATGCTCTCTTCCTCGGCCACCTCCTGCGAAGTGGCTTCCGGTGCGACTCCCACAAGGCCGTGGCTTCGGAGGCAGATGAAGACGATGCAGGTGGCGATGTTGAAGGGGAGGGTGAAGGGCGGCAGCTTGGTCGGGGCCAGGATGGCGGCCAGGGCTGACAGCAGACACACGCTGCAAAGGAAAATGCGTTGTTTTTATTACTCGTTCCATGCACGAAGCCGAACAAAAAGGAATAATCTTTCAATGGAAATGTCCAATTCAAGTATTTATACAATCTGTGCAGTCAGTCTCTCGTGTTCATCGTAGTCAGCATCACCATCATTATTACTGTTATTGTTATTATTTGTTGTAATTGTATTATCATTAATATCATTTATATTACTGCTGTTGCTTTTATTGTTATCATAATAAAAATATTATTATTAATATTATTATTATTATTATCACTATTGCTATCATGTTATTTTCATTGTTATCATTGGAGTTTATTATAAATTGCTATTGCTATTATTATTATCATCCTTATCATTGTTGCTGTTGTTGTCATTATTTTTAGAATTGATTTTCATATCCTTAGCATTATTATTATTATCACTGTTATTACATTTACTATCATTGTCCTTAATATTGTTATTATTATCATCATCATCATTATTGTTAT